CGAGGCCCAGGCCCAGGCCCAGACCCCCACGGGCGCGTCCCTGGTCCATACTCAGATTCTCCCTCAACCCCCGGGCGCAACCCTGGCCGGTACCCAAACCCCGACCCCAGGCTCGCCTCCATCTCAGACCCAGACCCCCGAGGCGTGCCTGGCCCCTCCTGCTGCCTGCGCCCGGGCGGAGCGTGCCCGAACTTGCGGATCGCGGTGCGTGTCTGGGTAATTGGTTGATAGGATCTGCCGCTTCTGCCCTGTGCGGGGGCGGCTCCTTCGCTGCAGACGCTTTTGTTTGTAAGGGGCTCCTTGGTAGACCCCGCCGGCGGAGGAAGAGATACTGTTAGTCGCGTGGGAGGGGACCCTCTGGATCTTGTGGTGCCTACTGTTTAGTGGCCAAGCGGCCCTCTCACCCTTTCTCTCTGCACACCCGGCTCTTGGTAAAGCACAGCGACTATCGATGCCAAAAGTGGTGGGAAAAGGAGCCAGGCAGCGGTTGGGGGCGGGGGGGCGGGGGGGAGGCTCTGCTTCTTACTCAGTACACACTCTGGGCACACGGCAGGTTTTCCTTCCCCGCTTTCTGGAGTGGAGAGTCTAGCCCACCCCCTCCCTGTGCTGCCTCTAGCTCTCGTCTTTTCGTGGAGGGTTTCCAGGGTGTCTGTGTCTCCAACCAGCTGCAGTGAGTTGCAGGATTTCCTTCTCATCTTGGGAATGAATACATAGCCTTTTTCTGAACCTCTCATTTCTAATATGATATTGCCCCTCCCAGTACTCCTGTCCCACACCCATCTCCTCTGGAGCACAGGCGCACCCCCCATCCCCCAATCAAATGTGCCAGCTGTGGGTTATGTGAGGGGAAGAACCCACAAGCTTGAGTGGGAGGTTTCTTTAGCTCAGTGGGAATGCTACTTTCTATTGCACTGTCTAGTACAATAGCCACTAAGCACATATGGTTTTTAATCTTCTATACCTTTTTATTCTGAGATCATTGTAGATTCAAGGGAGTTGTAAGAGAGATCATAAACATCCATGTACACTTTTCCCAAACTCCCCGATGGTAACATCTTGTATGACTAGCATAATATCACGTCCTAGATGCTGACATTATCAGACCTCCCAGTGTAATGTGGCTCATTTGTGTGTGCATTTAGGTCCATGCAATCTTGTGACCAACACCACAGCCAAGGCGCAGAACAGTTCCATCCCAGTGGTCTTGCCTGCTGCCCTTTACAGTGGCTGTTTAAGAGTAGATTGGTTAACAATCATGTTAAACACTTAGTTCCTGGTGCTCAGGGCCATGTATGGGCCAGTGTCTGCCTCATCAGACACACAACCCCAGAGAACCAGAGATGACCAGGCCTGGAGTCCATCTGGAGGCAATGCCCTCCAGACCTTATCCTGCAGTCCTGGGCTGATGGCACTGTAATGCTGCTTTGGCCTTCCCCAGGGCATTACCTGCCTGCCTTCTCCTGCTCCACTCAGCAAAGAAAGGGTGCTGCCTCACACCCCAAGCTTGAGTTTGGGTCAGATGCAGCTGATGCTCGCCCCCCTGGGTGGTGAGTTGGCAGAGCCAGAGTTTTGATTGAACTTAGGAGTCCTTGGAAGGGCTGCACCAACCTGGGTCCTGCTGGACTTGCTGTTTCTTTATGACAGGGTTGACTTACTGCTTATCCAGAGGGTCCTTGTGGCTCTTCCTTCTATACTGCCTACTTTGTGGTTAATATTTTTTTTTTGCAATGATATCCGTTTCTACGGGATGCCACTGTTGTCAAAATACAGGAGGCAAAACTTTATGACAACTGAAATGTAGCACTATAACACACACCATGGGTTGGTTTGTGGGGAAAATGGCAGCCCAGGGAGCTGAGTTTAGCCCATGTTCTGCCAGCTACTGGCTGTGTGGGCTTTCAGGCAAGTCATTTGACTTTTCTAAGCCTCAGTTATCTCATCTGTAAAGTGGGTGTTATACCTGCTCTGTTCACCTCCCAGGATGAGATGAGGGAATGAATGAAAGAACACCTTGAATTGAGTACTGTGGGTGAGGATTCTTTGGCATTTTAAGATAATCTGGTTGGAAAACTGCCTCAGAACCTTTCAGAATTTTTGTCAATAGCTATCTGCCACAGCTGGTCAGTTCCCAGTGCTTTGGGACAGGATCCAGGTGTGTGTACATTGGTGGACTGGGATATGAACTTGGTCTTGACCTGGTGGCCCTCCTCCTTACACGTCTCCAGACATTTTTGCCTTAATTTCGGTGATTCACTTCTTCCTCCCCAAACCAGCAGTATGCATTTCTGATTACCTAGTTCTGGTAATGGGACCACCCTTTTTCCTTACTTACCTGTGACTTTTGCCTCTCCTTCCACAAAACCTGAAGTGGGGAGGGAGGAAGCTGTGCAGATACTTAGGGTAGGGTGTTTCAGTTTGAAGCAAAAACCCTTAGCCACCTTCAAAGACAGGAGGAAGGACAGTGCTGGGGTAGGGAGGGATCTGCAGGAGGCAGAGAAATCAGAGATGAATTTTCATTTGAGGAGAAGGTAGCAAGCAACACAGTGCCATTATGAACCCAGGATTGCTTTTTATTACATTAGTATTTTTTTCATTCCACTGCCATCTGCATAGGCTTGAAGAATCCAAAGGAATATAGTTTATTCCACTTCAGCAGTATGCTCAACCAGGAGCCTCCCACCCTCTGGTATGAGGCCCCTGAATTAAAGGAGTTAGTATCATCCCGGGTTCTTTCCAACTTTGGTGGGGATAACCCACACCTTGTGATTTCTGTCTGCGTGGTCTGTGTACATGGGTTTGTGACTTCTCCCACTTGAAATGCTTTTTCTGGGAGTCTGTCCTATCCTGAGGACCCTCTTGGACGGCATCTTCTTCTACAGAGTCGTTTCAGATGCCTGTACTAGGCCAGGCTCCCTCTATCTGACCCCTTCTTGGTGTTTCTGTTCATCTTATGGCACTTGTCATGATGCTGGTGCCACAGTTCTGTTCAGATTGAGGACTCGTAGTGTCCACTGTATTTGGGGGAGAATAACACCACTGAAGATTTTCATCTTGTGTGTTTCCTTGTATAAATAATGTTGGGGCTTTTTCGATTCTAAACAAATGCATTGTCATCATAGGAAACTGAGAAACCATAGCCAAGCACAAAAAAGGGCAAACACCACTGGTAATTATCCTGTCCAAAGAGGAGCTACTGTTAAATGTTGCCTCTGGCCTTCTGATCTTTCGTATGCATGGGCGTGTGCCTACATTTTTGTTTTACAGAATTAGGATCATATGGGCACATTATTTTGTAGCTTGCTTTTTCTCTCCAACTTAATAGTAGATTGCAAGTGTTTTTCTTGTCATTCATGTCTAAACCATAATTAATTTAACCAGTGTCTTATTTGGGTTACTCCCAGTTTTTTCCATAGCAAATAATGCTATAAATAACAGCTTTATATTTAAGTCTTTATATAAAGATTATATAACATGTATACATATATAAAGTATGTAAAGATATTGATTCTATTAAATCAGTGCAGAACTCATTGTTTCTTTAGGACAAGTTCCTAGAAGTGACATTACTGGGTGACAGTTATGCACATTTTTAAGGTTTTGAATACATATTCCTAAATATTTTTCCAGAAAGTTTCTTACCTGCTTATACATGCTATTTTTTATCCATCCATCTCTGTCTCTCTCTCCATCCCTCTCTTCCTCCCTCCTAGCACTGAGCATTTTCTCATTCTTTCCCAATTAGGTAAGTGAAATGGTTTTAATTTGTGTTTCTTAAGTTATTAGTGAATTAAAATTTTTCCATATTTATTACTTATTTGTGTATCTATTTTCAGCTGCCTGTTTTTGTCCTGTATCGTTTTTCTCTGTGAGTGTTCCTTTAGAGTTATTGAGTTACGGGACTACTTCTTCACAGAAGGTTTCCATCAATGCAGGTGGTACCATGGGTGACTGGTTTTAAGACTGCTGTGGCCTTGCCACCAGGCATTCGACCTGGGCCCTCCAGGAGGGCGAGCGTGTGAGGAGACTGTTGGTGGACTGGCCAATGCACTGGCCCTCCAGGTTCTACCGGGGTCCACTGGGTGTACAGTGTTTTATGTCAGCAGATCTCCTCTGACCCCCAAGATCTTATCACTGGCTGAGGCTATTGCCCATGGCTCTGAGGGACACACTTTTCCATCTGGTGTAATGTGCGATGGCCGCTGGGATGCGGCCAAGGCCAGGCCTCCCCATTAGATGGCTGGGCACTTGCCTCCCATGGGCCAGTTGAGAGCTGCCTGGACACAGTTTGACTCATCTGTGTGTGTCAGCTACGCCTGTGT